GACTGGCCCGAGTTAGTTGCCAAATCGGCCGGTCAGATTGCTGGTGCTAAACAGTGGCCAGAATTGAACCTCATGTCCTCAACGACCGTTCGCAGCTGCCAACGCTGCTGGTGATTTCCATCCAACCAGCCCGACATGCCTCTCCTCGGCACAACCGTGTCACGTCGACACTCCCTCCCCGCCTCTCTGCTTGTCTGTCAGCCTGTCTGTGTGTGTGTCTGTGTGTGCTTGCGCGTGTATCTCAACTCGTTGATGCGTGGTTTGACGGCCGGCAACCGGACTCCAACGGCTCAAGGCGACCGGCCTTCTCGGACGATCAGAAGCGATGATGCACGTGGCTTCTGTCGACCGAATCGCGCCAAACGCCAAACGCCAAACGCCGGACGCCGGACGACGCACGTCGAGCGCCAAAACGTCAAACGCAAACCGTCTGGCACCGAGTGAATGGCCAGTCGCTCATTTGCCCTCCCCTCACCCAATCAATGACACACACACACACACAATTCGGCCACCTCATCTCGGTCAACCAGCTACAAACGTTGTTCCCGAGGCTACTACACACACACACACACACACACACAACTCACCAATTCGATGAGATAGACCGGCCGGTTGAAGCGAGCCAGAATGAGCACAAGTCGGCCAAACTGTACGTCTCTATCCACCCTCTCGGCACATCGTAGCAGGTTTTGGAGCCTGGCCTATGCGTAGGCGGAGACTGTGTGTCTACTTGTGTATGTGCGTGGATAGTGCAGTAGCCTGGCACAGCAGCCTTGTGACACTTTTCACAGCTGACCACCACAACCGACATTTCCTTAAAAGAACACATACTGATAATACTGATTAAATATTTCTTTTTTTTCCAAAAATATATGTATAGGGGTCGAACGTATTGCTTCCTCGTTTCTCGTTTACTCGAAAATGTACACAAACGTATGTCTAGCTCAAACACTATGCCTGTGAGAGAGTGGATTAATGAGTAAATCACAGTAAAAGGCCGGAATGTCTAATGAAAAGGATATCTACTAAATTCTGTATATATATATATATATATATATATATGTATGTGTGTGTGTATGTGTGTATATGTGTGTGTGAGTGCGTGTGTATGCGTGCAGGCCTGTAATTGAGTAATTGTTAAGCCAAAGAAATGGCCGATTTTCGCCAGCACAACCAAGTGCTGAACACGAATTTGTACCATCAAAGCGGCTTAAGATGAGTTAAGAACTGGCGTTGGAGCATTGGTTTTGTAAAATGTCAATGCATTTTGAACAGAATTGCGTCACGACAGACTGTCTTATCTCGAGATCAGATTGCAGGTCTGCCATCGCCGCGGCAACCATTCCAGCAGACAACTGCGAATGGATGCCAATGCGTGAGAGAGCAGGCGTGACTTTTTGAGACAGGCCAGGCGAGCCAACTTTGGCCGGTGTAGGCGATGACGTTATGCATTGTTGCACCGACATGAGAATGCATCGAGACTAGTCAACATCGTCAGTTGACATGACAATCAAGTCATATCCTCAACAGGAATCTTGCAATTGATGTCAGTTGGCTTGATGACAATGTCACATTTCTCGATGTGAACTACTAATTCACACCCGTGACCGGGTAGACAAGTTGTAACTTCGCCTCGATACTCATAATCACATTTCGAGTCCCGTCCACATTGTGTCTATGAGACCAGTTCAGGTGAGGTCAAAATCACAGTTCAGTCCAGTCGGAAGGCGATAATCTTTGAAATAAATACAAACAACGTCGACTATTTTGAAAGAAAACAAGTTTTGAGATCTTAATCGGTTTAGGTGGTTTAGGGTAACTTTCAAGGTGGGATAATTGGGTTTTCACGCAATCAGATGACTACGTCGCAAGACGACAATTTAATTTGATTTCGCATCCATCCCGGCTGGATTTGACCGGACTGGACTACAGTTTTCATCTGCCCTCATCATCGCTTATCAATCCCGATGCTATTTTAACACAAGTCTTGAGTCTGGTCGAGATATGGTACCTCTCGACTGTACCGACAGGAGAGCCACGGAGTTGAGGGCAGGTGTGACGTCAAAGACAACTGATGTCCCACCAAAATTACACTTTTTAAATATAATTTTGAAGTTAGCATACATGTCTTATAAATAGCAA